TGGTGATTAAGTAAAATAACCACATGGAGTTATTTTAAAGGTAGAAACACTGCAGATGATGTGGGTCGAGTCACCAAGGACCAGAAAAAGACACAGACGCTTGACCATTACCTTCCCAAGAGGAATAATCAATTTCTGAAAATCTGGCTGAAAAAATATCCTTGGCTCATATATGATGAGCTGTTGAACCTGATGTTCTGTGGCCTGTGTCGTAAGCACGGCGTGGCATCCAGGGGAGGCCAGGTGAGCTTCTTTTACGGCACTGACAACTTCCGGACTGAGTTGCTCAATGCGCATCACCTCAGCGAGGCCCATGCCAAGGCTTCGTTGATGGAAGCGACAAGTGGTTCTCCAATGAACCGAGCCTCCAGTGAGCTGATGGTGAAGACCATGAGCAAAGTCACCCGGGGCCGAGTGGAGAACTTATTCAGATCATGTCATGCGATTGCCAAGAAGGGCCATCCCCTCAAAGATTTCGTTTGGATGTGCAATCTGGATGACATGAAGGGCGTTGACATTGGTCCAGTCTTCAGGACCAACAGATCAGCAAGACTGTTTGCCTATTTCATTGCAGAAGTGGAAAGGAGAAACCTCCGGGAGAAACTAGAAAAGTCCAAGTTCTTCTCTGTCATCAGCGACGGCGTCACAGACAGCCCAGTCAAGCAAGCTGAACTGGTCTACGTGCAGTTTGCACATGCAGGAAAGGTGCATTGTCAGATCGTTGGGGTTCAGACAGTAGAAAAACAGGACCCTCAGGCAATAAAGCATGCCATTGAGAAGACTCTGGAGGTGAATCTTCAGCTCAGACTGTCAAGCCAAGACTGGGCCAAGAAGCTAGTTGGTTTTGGAAGTGGTGGAGCTCCTGCCTTGAAGGGTGAGAACAACGGGGTGGCCCTACTCTTCAGAGAAATCCAGCCGTGCATGCAGGCCGTGCATTGTTTGGCCCATCGCCTTGAACTATCTTACCAGGTGGTGTTCCAGAATGTTCCCTTGTACAACGATGTCACAGACCTCCTCCACGGCATTTACCACTTCTACCACCAGTCTCTCACACACAGGAGTTCCCTGATAACAACCTTCAAAGGCCTTCACCTCCGGCCGGTAATACCCTCTCAGATTGGAGGCCGGAGATGGCTTCAGGGATTACAGACTGCCCTCCAGAACCTTCTGAAAGGCTACCCTGCCATTGTCCAGCAGCTGCATTCAGTAAGTCATTTCACTTTTTCAAAATACTTGGAAAGACTTCTGTGAACACATTTGAAGCAATAACCTTGAGAAAGGTAAGCCAGTATGCTGTTCCCAACCTATGTTGCAGGCAGGCCGAGGCAGAGAAGACGCCAGTCAGCGAAAAGCCAGTGACCTTCTCTCATTGCTTCTGCAAGTTGACATCATTAAGTTTGCCCATTTCTTGGTGGATGTCCTCAGTGTCCTCAGCATTCTGTCCCGTGTCATCCAGAGCAGAGAGTCCTCCATCGCAGACATATTTGCCACGTTAGAGTCAACACTAGAGATGCTCAGAATATACCAGACAAGGTGAGGGGCTGGGACCTACCTAAGGCTCTGTCAAGCTGGACAGCTGGACGTGGGAAATTATTTACTGGATGTTTATTCATGTACCTTTTTATTGGTGGGGGGGTGATGTTTCTGTTCCTAGACCAGGGCCAAAAGAACGCAAGGTGGATTCAGCCACACAGTTTCATGGCAATGATCTCAGAGGAGAGGGAAGCATTTCTGCCGTGAGGAACACAGTGTTAGCACATCTCATTGAGAGGCTCCACGGCTGTTTCCGGGATGCCAGCCACGATGTGGTGAGAGCATCCATGATTGGAAGCTTCAAGCTGTGGCCTGGAAAAATCAATCAAGGTAACTGAAGTGTAGCAAACCGGAGCCTCTGTTTCCTTGTGTGGGCTTCTTTCATATATGCAACACTGACTTTGATGTCTTCAATGCAGAATTTGGAGAAAAGGAAGTATCTGTCCTGATCACTCATTACGAGCCAGTGTTGGAAGCTGCCAATGTGAAAATCGATGAAATGGACACTGAATGGAGCATGTTTAAATTGGAGATTTATGCCAGGTCAGCAAACAGGCTCAGAGACATTTGTAAATATCAGGGCAAAACATGAACACTCTAAATCCTTCACATTTCCCCTCTTTCTCCCTTCTAGGTTTCAGAACATCCGCAAGCTGACCTGGGATTTTGTTAATTCTGTTTACTTCCACAAGTACCCAAATATCCTGGCACTGGTTGACCTGGTATTGAGCCTGCCTGCAAGTTCTGCCGAAGCAGAGCGTGGCTTCAGTCAGATGAGCCGTGCCACTTCCCACACACGTGTGAAAACCAAGGCTGAGAGTCTGACAGATCTCCTGATCATCCAGTTGAATTCTCCAGACATTAATAACTTTGACCCCAGGAAAGCGATCCACTTATGGAACACGACGCCCTCTGCAGCTGGTGATACAGGGTCTAGCTCTGATTCTTCGTCAGACTCAGAAACCCATTATGAAAGTTATTAGTAATTTGAAAAAACACTAAGTGTGTCACTGTCACTGAGCATAGCCAAGGGGGAACAAAAGAAAAAAGAGGGGAAAAAAAGATTTCAAAAAAACCTGGAATGTGAAAGGAAAACAGTAATCTGTCTTCATCAAACAGAAAAGATATCTGATATCTCCCAAACACAGAGTGCAACTTCAATTTGTTCTTCCTCAACTTTTCAGTTGGAGAGGTGTGCTTTTGGGCAAGGTGTTATTCTGAAATTATCTTTTGACAATTGTCAGTAAAAGTGGCCGTTGTGGTCGTTAGGTGCCCAAGAACAGATCTCACCTCACAGTGACCCTCACGCATATGGAACGAAACTTTACCTGGTCCTGCACCAGCCTCACACAACCTTTACTGGACATCAGTCTCTTCTTGCAACCTGTATGTCAATCTGTCTTCTTAAGAAAGCCCTCCTCCTTTTTGCTAAATTCACTGAAATCTAGCATCGTGGTGTTGTTGTTGTGTACCATCAAGTCAGAACTGACCCATAGCTGACCCTCTGGTGGGTATTCAGAGACAGTTAATCACATGGAAGGAGATTACCCATCTTTCTCTCAGCTGGTGGCCTCGAACACCATGTCTTTGGGATTGCAGCGCAGCTTCTTGCCACTAGGCCATCAGAGCTCCTTAAAGTCTAGTATACTAACTGTTTATCCTGGATAATAATAAATTGCAGCGAATTAGGAAATTACATTGGACCATACTGAAAGAGAATTTCTTTTGTAGACATGAGCACAATTTTAAGCACATCTGGTGCTTCGTTTGTGTGAGAATCCCATTAGCGCACACCTTGGCCTTTTAAGTAACGAGGTCAAACATTAAGGTCATCTTTATGTTTCTGATTAAGAGTTTCAGGTGGTTTCTCTGTAAACCGAAAATACTGCTCTTCTCCACTTTGTTTTCCACCATGGCCACTGGGGACAGGGGAAATTATTGCTCTGTCACTGGAATTTTTAAATACTGTGAAGACTTCATCAACAGCCCTTATTTTTGGTTTCATCTGGAAGAACATGAATGATTTAGTCTGATGTATCTGAAAACCAATGGATTACCTAAAGCTCAGTATACTGAGAGCATTTTATAACCTGAGAACATGTTCTTGTGTCTATAAAATTGAATGCTCAGGTTTGAGTTTAAAAAAAAAGAAAGAAAAACTTATTCTGAACAACTTAACGGATGACCATTCCTAGCAAAGGAAGAAAAACATCAGCTCGGCTGCTCTGAAAACAATCTTCTCAATCTCTGAACTGTCCGCGTCGATCTACCGCTGCAATCTTAAAGGTTTAGTGCATTTTCCTGAAGGTTAGAGGAAATGAGGTTGGAAGTTTAGAAATGCTAAAACTCAAATGTAAAAGGGGAATAAAATTGAGTTGCTCTGTCCTTTTTCACTCTTTTTATTCCTCATCAAAGAATAGCTGTGTGCTGTGAACCTGAAAGATACCTGAATACATGTAGGATTCTGTCCTGACTCTAACAGGTATCTTTGTTGTATGTTGGTAGCCAAGTTGTATGGTTATTTTTTAAAACATATTCATTTATTTTGCTGTCTGTCTTTTATTTCCCTTGTTGCTAATGCATGTGCATGTAATTTAGATTGAGAAACTGACAAAATAGATATTTTTTTTTTTTGGGCAAAATAAAGTAGATTAGTAGATAAAAAGGCAAAGCATTTGCAAGGTTACAGATCTTGTATGACCTACTTGGAAATACAGAACCATTATATCATTAAACTAGTGCTTGAAATCCAATTAAAGAGGCCTGAAGGTGTAACACATAACATTATCACGTTGCTAACTAAAAGGTCAGTGGTTCAAATCCACCAGCTGCTGTTGGGGATAAAGATGATGAGGCTGCTTCTGTAAAGGTATATGGCCTCCAAAAGCTATTGGAAAGTGGTTATGAGTCAAAATGAGTCAATTAGCAATGGGTGGGCTTGGGTTCAAATCAATGCATTCCAAATTCTCTGCGTTTATGAGAACAAATGCATCAGGATGCCTTAATCACGTGGAGCTGTGCATATCTTTCAGACATTTATATCCTATATTTACCAACATGTTTACTTTTGCCCAACTGCAGGGAGCAGACGGCAACATCTTTCTCCAGTGTAATCACTCACTAGTCAGTTTGATCATCTGAGCAGAAGAAATATTAGAGAATTTAAAAAAAAATCCACTGTATTTTGAGTAAAAGGTCAAAGTAAAAAATAGAAAATGAAGTCTCAGTATTTTGCCCATGTAAGAGTACATTACTACTAGGCAAAACAGAACATTTTGACTTAGCTGTGAAATAATAATGAAAGAGCAATAGCAAATTGGTTATTATTGGGGGCTTTTCTGAATGTTTTTATGTTTCTCTAAAGGTTACATTCTCAAAAAATATAGGAATGAAATTATTTTACTGAGGGGGGGAAATGCCCTATCACATTATATAAATAACAAAGTATGTTTTCCTTATATTACTAGGCTTCATAGGAAGTAAAGCATTTACTGACATTCTGCTTGACTTGGTTACCCTGAACCTTGGAACAAACAACTTTCCTAGTAGTTGGATGCACCTCACCCAACCTGATGTAAGTTTCAGTTGGGCCTTATGTCCTCTCATTGTCTGGATTTCAAAGCTTTGAGCATTCTTCTTACCTGACCAAAGAGTCAATAGTCACGAAATAGTACTTGAACAAAGGCTGACATTTGCTATACTAAACAAGAAGACTTAGGAGATGAACGGCCTTTGAATGGAGAACTATAATGTGGACGTGCTCACTATGTGAAGAATGAATGATGACACGTGCAGACAGAGACAGAGGCCATGCAAGGGGTGAGTTTGCGTCTATCACTACCAGATGGGATGATCCTCACCAGTAACGGTAAATGCTCTGGCACCCTTCGTTTTCTGTCATAAGGAGTTCCTTAAGAATATACCAGGGGGGAAAATGTGAGAGGAATTTTGTTCGGCACTGTTCTGGAGTGTTCTACAAACAACAGCTCTCAAAGTTATTTCTGTTTTCAAGTAGGTACAAGGAAGACAAGAGTCATGTATGTCATTTGATTGTACATTGTTTTACTTGTGTAGCAGCTAGTTGTACTGATTGTATAACATAAGCAAAAGATGAATGTCCAGGAAACAGAAGTGAAACGCCCTCTTGTGTTCCTACTGCCTGGTGTGTGGAGTGGTTGGCAGACCCTAGGCTAACACGGGTCAGGATGGCCTCTTCTTGCCTGTATGCAGTCAGCTTCTTTCTTACTGTGAGAATCTCAGCAAAGACAGCTCCAAGGCAAAGTCATATTTCAATGCCATTTCCTGTTTTCTTCTAGTTGCAGGAGTTAACGTCTTTATTAATAGTGAACTCGGAGTTCGTGGACTGGCGGAAATTCCTGTTAGTGGTCTCACTGCCATGGCCCATCCCCCTTGAAGATGAGCTCCTGGAGACCCTGAAGAGATTCCAGACCGTGGACCAGGAGCAGCTGGGCATGGTCACTTTCGAGCAGTATATGCAGGTGACTATGAACACCTGGTGTCGTGCTAAATCTGGAGCTGACCTAAGAAGAATGTTGATTCCCACATACTGCATCACTAGGTCTCAAGTCACAGTTTTGCTCCTAGGCTGCCCAAAGCCAGTGACCCAGAGCTCCTCACGCAAAAACAGATCAGCTGGTCTCAAGTCAGTTCCAACTCATGGCAACACAGTGTGTATCATAATACAACTATGCTCCGTAAGTTATTCAGTGGCTGGGTTTTTTCAGAAGCAGAGCATTAAGCCTTTCTTTCTAGGAACCTCTGGGTGGACTTAGACCACCAGCCTTCAGTTAACAGCTGAGCATGTTAACGGTGCTTCCCAAAGGCTCCAAAGAGTCAAAGGTAGTATTTAAGCCCAAGCCCAAAGTCTACCTTCTCCACCCAAGGAAAGACTCAACATATCAGAACTGTTCATATCTGGACTCTGGAAGAGCTAAGGCTCTGAAGGAGTCACATAGACCTTAGCTCAGCTCCTGACTGGTGGTTCTCAGCTTAGACTATGCAGTGAAATCACCCAGAGAACTTTAAAAAACCGAATGCCTGAGCTCGCCCCAGATAAATGAAATCCGCACTTCTGAAAGACACATCCATACTAAAAAAGAAGTCAGGAAAGAAGGAGCGTATTTAGTCCCTTTAGATGAAGGGGATGGATGATGAGGGCATTTTAGACAAGCTGGGTTTGAAAAATCAGGAAATACATACAGGAATGGCAGATGCAGAAGACATTGTAAATCAGCCCTTTATGGGTAGTTGATGAGAATGGATTCAATTACTCAAGAAATATGTGCAAAATGATGAGTAATTCAGTAACAGAAGAGCTGGCAATGGACTGTGGCAAAGGTAAGATGCAAGTGGTAGCCTTTTCAGCAGACTGTGGTAGCCACGTCTGAAACATGTTAATGCAGCTAAACCACAGGTTGACACTTCTCTGGTAGTTCAAATCCACTGCAGCCCTAACCCTAACCCTAACCCTAATTCTAACCCTAACCCCGCCCCTGGAGGGTCAGCTAGGAGTCAGTTCTGACTCAAAGACAATGAGTTGAGTTGCTGAGTTGAATAAATGCCCAAGTCACATTGCTGTGAGTTGAAGGAATACATAAGATCGTTAGGAAGGGAAGGTCCCGGAAAGTCAGCTCGTCTTTGAGAAGTGTGAGGAAGGCAGGAATGTGAGTGCAATTCTCCGAGGGGAGTCTGAGTGGCTTGTGCTGTCTCTGTTAATCTAATAACTCATTCATTGACATCCCTTTGTTCCCCATTCCACCTTGCTGTGTAGACACAAAAGATGAGGTATTTATAAGATGCTCATTCATTGTGGAGACTGACACATTGGGCTCTTGTGTGTCGGGAAGTGAGAGGACGGCGCAGGATAGAACAGGGTTCAGAGCTTTTGTTCAAAGGGTTACAATGAGTCGTACTCGACTCCACCGCACTCAACAACAGCATTCTGAAATAGGAGAATAGAGTACAGATGCCCATATCTTAAATGAATGTCAGCACTGAAAGATGAATACCTCCTCTGATGTCCTCAATGAAGATGGCGTGATCTTAGACAGTCTTGCACCTGAAGAAGCCACTTGAATACTTAGGAAACTCTTTCAGAGCTAAGCAAACAAGACAAGCCCTGGGCTGACACGGTTCTGGTGTATTTATCTCCTAAGTAGAGTCGATAAGGAAAGCTCCCACTGTCCTGGTTAAACTTTGTAAAGATGATCTTGTTCACAAACAGCAGCAGCAGAGTGAAATATACTTCATTTCTGTCGATGGCTTGTTGTTGTTGTTGTTAAGTGCGGTGGAGTCGCAGACGACTCATAGGGACCCGATGAAGCAGAGTCCTCAATGCTTGGGTGCCTTTCATCCTCTCTCCAGGTTCATAGGGTTTCCGGAGGCAAGCTATTATGGAAGTGGATGCCACTCCTCCTTCTAAGCTTGTTTTAATCGGGGAGCTCCACCCCACTCTCTGTCCGCATTGGGCAGCCAATTATAAACACATTTGACACCCCAGTGTCACGGTGTTCAGCCTCACAGCAACCAAAGTGAACGCGGTACGGCAATTTGTACACCAGAACTATACGACCTAGAGGAATGTCTGAACAAAAACAATAAAAGACAGGCCTGAGGGCAGCGGATTAAAAGTCACCCACCTTTGCCTTGGTAAGCAGTAGATGGCTTAGGGTTCCAAAACTGGCATTTTGTGAAATGATCAACCCAGCGCTATTCACAGTATGTGGCAATTAACACAGGATATCAGTGTGAACATTTTTTTGAACAAACATGACAAGAACAGAGTGCTGAATCAAAACCAGAGCACACCTTTACCAGAGGTGTGAATTTCTTAGAAAAAGTGGGACATTGAGTGTAATTGTTGTTGTCAAGTGCCATCGAGTCAAGTACAACTCATAGTGACCCTATGAACAACAGATCTAAAACCTTGTCCCGTCCTATCACATCCTTATTATCATCCTTATCACCTCTGACATGTTTGATCCTTTGCAGCCACTGACACAGCTGTGTTTAACAGAGACTAGGAAATCACCCAGCAATTGCTCTGTAGGGAGTACATTGATTTCAGAGCTCTGCCCTCTCCTTTGCTGATCAACTTCCTCCTTCAAACCCCAGGCCCACAGGAAATTCCTGGGTGCTTTTTTCTGGATCCTTGATATTTGCCAGCTCCCCTCCAAAAATGCCATTTCATGTCATAAGTCAAAAGAGCTTCTTAGGGGAAATTTTTATAAGAGTTGCTGGAAATACCACTTTGGAGCACAAAGATAATGTAACTTGTGCTGACCTGGTATTTTTGGTGAGACAAAGACTCTCTACTGTGCTGTAGAATCTTTTCTCTCTCCTTCTTTTTTATTTCCTTTGACTACTTGCAAATACACTATGCTGGCCACTGAGAATATGGCTGATTTCCCCAAATTTTAAAATGGACTCAGACTGTTTTCAAAATTGATCTAGCATGAGAGAGAAGGAGAGTCTGTGTGAGTCTCTGTGCTCAGCCTTTCTGGACCTGTCACAAGCTTCCCTCTGTCATGTGTGGACGGTTAGTCATACTGCTCTAGAAATCTTTGATGTTAAACTACCTACTCAGCTTTCATCCGTGAGGATGTGTGTTATTATAGGAGAAATAGGTCAGATGATCCAAGATCCAAACAACAGAACTTTTGTTCTCTGAAGAGAAGTACAATCCTCAGAATTCTTGAGTCATGTTT